TGCGAATGTTTCAGGTGAATGAGAAGTCGTGATGTGTTTTTTGTTTAGCGAAGGAAGAGGATTTTCTTGAATTTGTACTTCCGGCGCCCTAGGTCTTAGTTGGGGATACATTTTTTTTTGCAGGTTTTTGTATATTTGACATCCTTTGTAGTTGGCCGGATGATTTCCTTCACATAGAACACATTTGACATCATTGGATCTGCTTTTCCTTTCGCAATATACAGAAGCATGATTTCCAGCGCACTTGATGCATTTAGGTTTGCGGTGACAGTATCCTTTTGTGTGCCCATACTGTTGGCAGTTTGCACATTGAGGGATTTCCCGTTTCGGGTGAGGTGGTTCAAATGTAACTGTAGTATACAAGAGTTTCTTAACCAAATAAATATCCTTATTATTTAGGTTTGGTGCAAGTTCAATAATAAACATGGGGAGAGGTTCACCTGACCCTCTACGTTTAATGTTCCAAACGTTTACAGCCGTATGTTCATGCTCCAGAAGTGCATTTTTGATTTCATCAATATCGGTTGAATGATGCAAATTTTTCAATATAACCCTAAAGCTTCTCTCTGTTTTTGGTTTGTAAGTGTAGAATTCAGTGTTTTTTAACTCCAACTGCTTTACAATGCTTACGTAAGAGTCAGATGTAGAAGGTTGAACTCTTACTTGACTTGGATTTAGCACTTTTAAATCGAATTGATTTGCCGCATGTTCGTTTAACACATCTATTAGAGGCTTGATGCAATGTACCTTATCAATAAATATAGGTGGAGGTTTCATTAATTTTGGAACCGTATCATTATTTTTTAACGATTCTTCAGTTTCTTCAGAGTCATCTTCCTGGAGATCTGCGTATCGGTTTGGTTTGACGGGTTCATTTAGCCAGTATGAGTCTAGCTTGGTTTGTTTTTGGTTTACTTGATGATTTTTACTTGGACTATCGCGTTGACGTTTACGGTTATTAACTACTGTCCAAGTGTCGTTAACAGAGGTTTCGTTTCTGGCTGCAGCTTGATTCGATCCTTTATTTTGGAGGAGGTTATTTTTTTCTTCATTATACAATTTTTGAAGCTGTTGTTGAAGTAGTTGAATTTGTTGTTGTATATTTTTCACCTGAACTGATTTAGCCTTTTTCTCTTTTAGATGACCCGAAGTCGCATTTCTTGACGCCTGCCGCGTGTTCATATTAGTTTCTTTGCGTGTATTGGATAGTATTGTTTCGTGTTGATTTTGGGAACTAAGTTTTATATTATCGTTTTTATTATTTATTAATTTAATTTTGTTAGCTATGGCGATTTCACTAGCTATTTTTGTTATGCTTGAATCGATTTTTGAATCGATTCAAGCATAACTAGGTCTTAGGTTGAAATATTCTTACTCGACGCATCATGTTGGTTCAACCATATCAAATGTTGGGGTTCATATCTGCTCTACCACATAAGCAAAATTTTAGTACGTGATTACTGCATATTTTTCTGAGTGTATAGAATTGACTTTCAGTAATTATTAATGATTACCAGTGCGCAATTTCATTCATAGATATAATAATCTTAATAATAATCTTAATCTTTAGCTTAAGTTTGTTTAGAAGACTTAATTTCTTTATTTCCTTAAATATTTTTCAATAGAAAGTTCAAATTTAACAACATGTAGTACATAATGAAAAAGTTTTTCTGACATTATTTCATGATAGACACGCAATATCGTAACATTAGCACTTGTGACGCCTTTCAGATTTTCCATACAAATGATATTTTAGTATGTGTTGCGGTGTACACTTTGGCATATTGCATTAAATGTCATTGTTGCAATATATTTCACATGGAATTCCAGCAATTTTTGCTAAACCCCATACAGCATCAACAAATAATAAAAAAAGATGCACACAATTTCACTACAATGAATCTTTAATACTTAAAGATGCAAAAAAAGTTATGGAAGTAGCGCTTCCTGCTGCTAGAATCTTACTAACAACTTTCCACCAACTGAGATTAAACCTTCTGCGCTCTGCATTCATAAACTCGACATTTTATGACTTTTGCCATTTCCTACATCAGGGTCGGTCGGTACCCATGCATATGAATATAAACAAAAACGACACTAAAATCTTCCCACTGCACTAACCTTCCGAAGAGCTGCTGCTGCTTCTGCCACTGCCACTGCTACTGCTACTGCCACTTCCACTGCGTCCATTGCTTCTACTGCTGGAGCTGATGGAAAAAGGGCCAAATTTAGTTGTGCTTGGCATTTTTGTTGGTGTTTAAGTTGCATTTCTTATCTAGATTTGTGTTGCCAGTGTTACAAAATGCTCATATTTCGTTTTAAAGTTTTTCCTTATTTGTTGCCATATTTCTTGTCCTTGTTCAAATTTCCTTTGCTACAATTTTTACAACCAAACAATTTTCTATTTCTTTTTTTTTCTCTGATGCAACCCTGTGGTAACATTAGGAAATGACCCGATTCTGCATAAGTTTTGTGGGTTGGTGTTTTTTATTTGCTACAATTTCTGTTCTTTCCATACAACATTCAAAAAAAAGACATGTGAATTTCTCATAAAATACTTTTCATTATAAGTGTTTTTAACTTGAGATTGTTAAAAAGTTTAACATATAATACATAGAAGAAAGAATTTATTATTTAAATGGATTTTTTCAGATTGTAAGTTTTAAGGAAAGTTAAACCTGAACAGAAACGAGTACCTGTTAACTGGCTTAGAAGAGATTTGTTTATATTTTTGTTTTATGTTTTTGATGATTAAATTAATTTTATAAAAAATATTTATATTATTTACTGAATATTCTTACATATACTACAGCTTGTTGACAAGAAAATGTTTTCAATGATTAAAATATTTCTTAATTATTATTACCAAATGAAGAAGCCACATATAATAGACGATTAAAATGTTTAAATCCATCAGAACTATCAATATAATGATCCATAACTATCTAATAAGTTCATGATACAATCCTAATATATTAATTGACTCATCTTCTTCTACTAACATTTAATTATCTTATACTATGTTATTTAATTAAAACAAGTTTTTACTATTTATTGGTAAAAAAAATTAAACGTATACAGACCTCAAATTTAAATGACTGTGGAAATCAAATTGAAATGCTTTCATTTCAATAAAATAGGAAAAAATTTCTCTTTTTCTCAATTTGCAACCAATTTTAGTCAAAATCCGATTCGAAGTAGATATGCATTCAGTTTGAATTCAAACACATAAATCAATTGCTGGCGATTAATCGCCTAAATGCAATTTACTTCTACTAATGCGAACAAATGAATGCGGCACAAATCCTTGGTATGCAATTTAAAATCATTCTTTGAGTTTCAACTTGAACAGTTGTATGTTTACATTTTATAACCACAATAACAACGAAATCATTTACAAAAGAGCTATTCAAAACATGAATGTATGGCATACGTTCCAACACTATTACAGGACTTCAGATTTGTGGGTCTTATTTTCAAAATCAAATACCTTCTAATTAGTTTTTCAAACTTTCAGTCAAAAAGAAGAGTAAACGGCTTCAGGGATTAGTAAGTTGTACCATTAATCAGAAAAGTGAAAATACAAACATTGAAAAAAAATATTGAATCTTTAACAGAAACTTAAAGACTGTGTCTTTGAGGGGTTTTAATTCTATTCACTATATGTAAGCTCTTTAGTATGAGCTTACAACCTTTTTCTATATTCGAAAACGTATCTGTGGTGTTTGAAATGTCAGCTCCTATCTTAATTACTATGGTTAGGACGTACTCACGTACATATACTGTAATCGCTCAAGTATGATCGTCCTTATTTTAAAACACTCCGATATCTGAGTTGCTTTATAGCTTGTGGTTTGGCTTTCAAGCCTTTTGACGATGTCATTTTTAGACTACCTGGAGTTCTAGTAGTCTTGGTTTAGCTAAGATTTAAGTATTTGGTTGTGATATATATAAATATTCAACTTTGCGTTTAAAGCAAACATGACAGTGTTTTCATTGTTTGAAAAGAGTAATGCATTATTAACGTAGAATAATATTTAATGTTCTGTTGCAACTACATATCTTTTAGTAGTATTTTTATAGCTATTATAATATCAATTATTATAGTGTTAAAGAGGATGTACCTCAGATTGGCTTCTTGTAGGATTTGTAGTGTGACTAGAACTTCTGTATGGTTATGTTTTGCTGCTTTCAACTAGTTAAGTAATTAGTAATGGAATAACTATTTTACTATTATTATGTTATTATAATTTTAATATGTATTACTTTTAACAATATTTAAGTATTTGGAAAATGCATTATACTATATGTTGAATAGTCGTTGAATGAATATTAATTTATATGTAATTTCTGTTAGGTGCGAAGGTTTGATAAAATTTCATCAATAATGTAAATCTTACAATCTTTCGTATTCACGTGAGTTAATACATACTTATAAGTATAATGTTAAAGATGGACCCATTTAGGGTGTCTTAGGTCTATTACCTTTAAAAACTGTTAATTTGCAAACGCGTAGTTTAATATTCTGATAGAAGTTATAGTGATTACAATTGAATGTCATACTATATACTATATCAAAGCTTGTAACTCTGTACTTTATACAAATTTTTAAGGACTAATTATATGTTACTGTACTTTAATTAATGATGCCGTAAATTATTTCATTGTTCGTTTATTCATTTCAAAATATGTGGGTGGAAGACCATAATGAGTAAATTTAATATCAAGGAATTTAAAATGGAATTAAATGCATAACTGCAACATAACTTCTGAAGCCTTGTAATGCAGTACATTCCTGTGTGTGGAGCAATTAAAAAAATTCCAACACGAACTCAATTTCGAAGTATATTCTAACTTTCCCACTTATGGAGCTAAATTTCTTCGTTGTGCACATACCATATGTGAAAATATTAAACATACTTTATGTCTTAATCTACTTTACTTTTACTGCAAGTTTCGTTAATAATTTTTCGACTTTTTGTATTCTTTATGTTTTCCAGAGCTGTGTTCATAGCTGACCAACGCTTTTTGGCTTTGAAGCAACCCGATAAATTCTGGACGCTGCAAATAAAATACGTGCAGGCACGAGATGCAGGCGCATATGAATGTCAAGTGTCAACAGAGCCAAAAGTTAGTGCACGAGTGCATCTGCAAGTAGTTGGTAAGTTTAAAGACTCTCTGAGGAGTCTAATCAAAACTAGTATATTACGGAAGGGATACGAGTGTATGAATATGCAGTATCTGTACTTTTCAGAGGCTGAAGTGTGTTACTAAAGTAAGTTGCGTATGCATGCAATTAACTATAAAGTGGAATAAGGTCAAGTGTTGTTTAGCTGGAAGGGCAGATGCTATACGTTTTTGCTAAAACTTTCTAACTTTGTTCTAACAGTAGAATAGAAAAACAAGATAGAAAATGGGAAAAACAATATATCTCTAACATAAAAAAATATAGCAAATTTATGTAGGGAAACGAGCCACAAAAGTTTATACATATTGGAAGAAAAAATATGCCAGCTTATGACAAATGGATAAGACACATCCCAATTTCTGATTTCATTCAAAATTTTTTGCTAATGCTGTGATATTGCTTGAAACAACAGATAGATTTATATCCTTTGTACTTACATATATAGTAATTAAAGGTTTTTTTACAGCAAAAAGAAATTTGAAAAATGAAGATTGTCAATTTAGATTTTAAGTAAAATTCTAAAGTCTAAGTGCTGTATGATTTTATTTCAATTAATAATTAATAATAATTAATCTACGAATAATAAATAGTTGAATATCTTCCCAATAGTTGATAACAAAGTAAAGTTTGAATCGAGTTATAAAGCAAAGTTCTCCAAAGAAATATGGAATGCACTTTTATAGTGATATATACTATACATTACCAATTCACTTTTAAAAGAAAATATCAATATATCACTATTAAAGCTATCGTTCTCAAGCTAAATGAGCAGCTTGCAACTCAGTAACGATATCCGATAATTGAAGGACCAAAAAGGACCCAAGGAATTTCATGGTCTACTCCAGCTAATCCTTCACTTCAGTAGGGGCACTTCTTGGGCGGTGTGCTGTTCCAACATTTACCATCATTCAGCGAATTCTTGTGCATATTTCTACTCATACGTCAAAATAATCCATATTATTACTATTATCAAATAATAGGCTATGGATGTACCCCGACCAAAAAGATCTATTGAGTGCCTAAAAGCCCAACTAAAACAATTCTAGAGTATTTATAAACCTCGTAGTTGCTGTGGGTTTAATTTTACCTATTTGATTTGGAACCAAGATCCCGCTTCCAAGGTAGTCAAGTCCATGTCTTGTCCCTACTGAGCAGCTGCATAGAATATGTTCTGATTTTTCCTTCTCCTCATAACAAAGTCGACAGGAATTACTTTCTATGGCAACTAAATTCTTCACGTGGTAATTGAGTCAACAGTGTCCTCTAAGAAATTCAATGTAGAGTTTAATATCATTTGCCTGAGGTTAAGGATAGCATCAACTTTCATGTATTCGGGATCAATAAATGTTCTTCAATGCCTCATACCTGTTTGGGCTCTCCAGTATTCAAGTAGATTTCATTTTTCCCGTACGCTTATGAAGTTATTTGTAAAGCTACTTGTTACCCCACAGAAGGGTTTTGGAGCAATGAAAGGAGTACATGCATGCTTTTTTGCTAGGGAATCATTGCCCTCATGTTCTGCTTTTCCCGGAACCCACATAAGAGTATCAATAAGAGTAATAACAAACCATATCATGTCACAACCGAATTATATCTATTGTGGAGGGTCTAATATTTATATATATGTTTATATATACTGAAGTTTTTATAAAGGAATGCTTCTAGTTTCCGTATTTACTTTTTTCAATATAGACTTTGAAGATTTATTCACCGTTGATTGTTGTTACTTATATACCCAGATACTTTCCTAACAAAACACGTTTTCCGGGTGAGATTTTCTGTGGCATACATATATTACGTCAATCTATATATCAAGCAAACATTACTTCATATTCTTTTTATGTCATGAAACAATGAATTATTTATCTCGAATATGGACTTCTGATAGAAAGCACGGTGCAAAAATCATTTATTATTTGTTTTTTTGAAAAAATTTCGCCTCAAAACAGTACAAAAAGTATTAAGAGCAGAAAAAATTCGTTCCTTATTTCTCGATATTTTCTGTTTTAATTTTAGATGTGATTTCTGCACCACATTCGTTTCGAGTTTGCAATTTGCTAATGAAAATATATCCTTTCACACATGACTCAGTATTATGTGAAGTACTCAAATCTGTGCGTAATGTGGCATAAAATAGAAATATATTTCTTTTCTGTCGAAAGGATATTAGAAAATTTGTGTTCCGGGTTTTTGGAAAAACAATGCCACAAGTATACTACACATATGCCACTCTTGATGTGTTAAGCATTTTCATTGTTAATTCCACTAAAATAAATATAAAGTTTGATGCATTTTTTGCTCATCTTCAAGGCTCAATGAAAATATGTGTACAAATGAAAATGGCTTGAATCGATAATCGGTAACACTCTGTCATATTAGCTGAAATGGAGAGAAGATATTGAACCTGAAGGAAATGCATACTTAAGCTAAAGTAATTTGAAAGCTTTACCTCAATTATTGTGCAACCAAGCATAAATGAACAGCTAAAGGAACGACCAGCCAGCAAATGAGCCAAGACAAACTAACATGTAAAACAAATACTCTGAATATTGGTTGAGCAAATCGAGCGAAAATTTTACTACAAGCTCGTTGCGATTACGAGCATGACTAAAACATGCAAAAGGAGTTTTACTCGATTTCACAGACAAAACGATGTAATAAATACAAATCACCACGACCGATCGTTATATGCGTTGCCAGCAGTATCGAGTATTGCCAGCACTAAATGACAAATCTGCAAGATTGCCAGCCAAATACTAATCCACTAACAACATCGATGGCAATGCCATCAGGAGGTGTTACTAATAATGTAAATGTAAACAGGCAGGATACGGACAGCAGCCAACAAACTACACAGCAAGTCAAATGACTGCAAACGTTAATAATAGCTGCTCCGTAATATTGTCGATGGAAAAAGAAGGAAAAAATAGTCAAAGAGAAATTGAATCAGAGTAAGAATTCAATCTATTTAAGTTGTCCAAAATGGTAGCGGGGATATGGATGCATAAAAAAGTTATAACGAATGAAACCAATCTTTTGTGCTTAAATTCGACATTAGCCCAAATACACAAATTGCGGCTTGGCATACGAATTGTTAGTACGCTTTTGTGTGCTCAACTATTGAATTCGTTTATTCATTCATTGAGGCCTGAATATTCTGGTACCTGTTCGAAGTGTTATACATATATATATGTATATACAGTTATATGTATTTGATTGTATGTATAAAGACACGAGTAGCAGTAAATCGTATTGTCGATTTAACAGGCCTTTTGCTTTTACACTATGCCGAGCATACAAATTAGCTCATGCGGAAATCTATGTTGGGTGTGAATTTTAACACAAAATGTAAATACGCCAATCGAAGGACGGGCCATAGGCCTTGTATTGTGCTCAACGGATATTCAATTTGTGAGAAATATTGTTAGTATTAATGATATCTTTTTTTGTATATTTGGTTTACTTTTTTCGTTTTGAATAAGTAAACAATCATAATAGCACAAAAAATCGTTAACTTAATATGCCTGGGCTTTGTGACTTTACGACTTTAACTATTTGCTTAGATTAAATTTGAATGATTCATGAAATTCATTAAAAAATCAATGAAAACTTATTTTATTATATTTGAATTTTAATAAAATTAAATCTTCTTTTTTATGATTAATAAAAATCTCATTTTTTGAAGTCCTTTTAATATATTTATAGTAAGATAGAAACAAATTAGAACAAGTGTAATATTTAGTTTTGGTTTTACTGAAAAATAAGGCTTCACTTTGATGATTTTATTAACATAAATTATAGTTACAGTTAATTTTAATATATAATTTATTCTATTTACCTAAGAAAATACATTTATAGTAAGTTTAACTAATACAGCTTTGATAAACTTTATGAGTTCATACAAATATAACACAGCAAGTGAATTTGTTAATATACTTGTGCAAAGTTACATAGAGGAGACGATTCAATAAATATATCACGACCCTAGAAGCCAATAATGAAGGGTCCATGAATATCGGATTCGCACCGTTCTGCGTAAATGCACATCCCCGGGTCACTCTATACACATAGTCCATTGTGATATGAAGCTATTTCTGTACAAACTCAAATTTATTAAGGAACTACTATCAACTCATAAGACGTATTTTATGTTAAACGTTCATGGTCATGTTCGTATTGAGTCTTTTCCGAATTATTGCATTTGATAGTTGGGAGGTTTCTGCAGAATCCCACGCTTCATACTGACTTATTTATGTATTCCTCAAAAACTTCATGATTTTTCGATGACTGATCTAAGATCTGCGCGCATTAAAATGGGTTCTGCCTCTTCAGAGTTGTTGCTATAATCCAAATAAAAGGATAGGAAAGAGTAGAGTTTGGTGTTAATAGAAAATTTTCAACATCTAATTGCTTTACATTAAAATTTTTAATATATTACAGTTTCTTATAAAAACTGTATGATATATGAATATTAATAACGCAGATAATAGCAATGGTCATATTCTCAGATAGTTTGAGCTTTATAAAACAAGTACCTACCAGGATTAAAAATCTCAAATTATAACTGTATAGTATCCAGGCATATGTACATCTATATTTGAGCTTATGAGTGTCTCTTTTTCTAATTCCCTTAACAATATATGCAACATCAAATGGTCAAATGTTGTATTCATCAAAGTGCGCGACTGATTCTAATATGCCTACCATTCTGCGCATAATTACTAGAAATACAAAATCAAAATGAGCTGATGTTTTCATCGATACGAATCTTAGGCTAATTGAGCAGCTTTTACTCCACCTGCACACCTGTTTTCGTATGTTCTTTTATTTAATTTTCAAAATCTCTTTCGTCTTTTTCGTGACTGATTTTTGGTCGAGATTTTACTATATGGTATTTTACTTTTTACTATAGTTTGATTAAACTATACTCGCTTAGTACAATAGCTGACAACTGTCACTGTAGTTCAATTGCAGAAAATACAGTATCTGTATATTGAATTTTTAATCTACTATAGCTTAATTGTGGGCGACAGTACTTAAGTAATACATTTGCTCAATTCCATTGTTTATTTATCTAGTTACTATAGCTATATCTTCTGCTCAATAAGTACTCGGATTTTGTTAAATACTCCTTAATTAATAGATGTTTTTCAAAAATTTTTTTTGTTATGTTGGTACACCATTTCTTGACATATGGCACAGCTTTGAGCGCCATCTGTCAATTAGTTTGTTTACAGCAGATGTTGATGGGAGACTACCTCAAGTGCATTTAGCGATTTTTACTATGAAAAATTCAGTTGAACAACGAGTTTGTTTGAAATTTTGTGTTTTGAACGAAGTTTTATGTGTTGAAACATTGAAAATGGTACAGAAAGCCTAAGGGGACTCTTCTATATCTCGAACACAGGCATAAGAGTGGTATTAATCATCCAAAGAGGGTCCATCGCACACGGCTCTTGTTGTACGCGATTTTTTGACCAAACACGGCACCACTGTCATCGCTCAGGTACCATGTACCATATTCGCCAGATCTAGATCGGTGCAACTTTTTCCTGTTCCCGAAACTCAAATTGCCCCTTCGTGGTAAGCGTTTTAAGTCGATTGAATCGGTAAAAGAGAATTCGCTGAGAATTCGCTTTTTGAGCAGAAGGTAGTTAGCTAGCTACAACAGCTTAATCGCGAATCGTATATTACATACGCCATATATTATTGTTATATCAATGGGATTTATACATGAGAAAGACATTTTCTGAAGTCATATTGGGTAAGCTTAAGAGTCATATTGGGTCAAATGTGCGTAGTTATTAGCACTTACTCTTATGTTTCCGAAAGCTAATTGTAAATCTATTGGAGATACATTTTTCTCTAAACTTCTAAGAGTATTCAAAGGATTCATATATAAAATATATTTCATAACATATGTTGCAGTTCGGTTTATATATATAGTAATATTCATTTTCATGGAAAATGCGAGACATATTAAATTATAATTAACATCTAATTTTATTCGAATTATTTCCTTTCAAACTCGAAAGGAAGTTTCCACAAAAACGAGTTCAGAATGAATTTAAACACTTTTAAGTCAGAGATATTTAATGCATAAAATTGGCAAATGTTCTCACGTACTTCAAACTTACTAAAAATTAAATATTAAAAGGAACCTACGAAATCAAAATTTGGAGGAGAGAAAAAAATCAAAACACGGGTTCTCGTCGTATCAAATGTGGCATTCAAAACCGTTCCAGCAAACTGAAGCCAAAACCAAAATTTTAAAACTTATGTGCTAAATTCCAAAAAAAAAAAATGAAATAAAAAAAAATATGTTATGAGAGAAAATAATGATAATAAAATGAAAACCAAAAGCGAAATGCATGAAGTATCTATCGACACATACCGACATGTCCTTGCTGAAATTGTGTGCGCATTTCCGCATGCGAACTAAAATGGCGTACGTGATGTTGTCGATATTTTAAGGTGGCGTAAGGATTTGAATTTTGAAATGTAACACTTCAATGGCGCAAATAAAAAATGAAAGGAGATAAAATACTTAAAGAGGAAATGGGAGAAAATAAAAGAAATTGTAATAAAGAAATTGCTTAAACCAAATGTGATTCTTAGCTAAACTTGTTCTACAAGGTGTGAATACTTACGTGTCGTACGTGCCGTTCTTTGCTGCACGTCACTAATTTATATCATTATTAAATATGCAATCGGCATATGTGTACTTATAAATATAAAATGAAAAATAAAATTAAATACAGAAGTACACCTTTACGAAGAGGAAGTATTCTCTGTTACTGACAAAAATAAATAAGTGATCTCTTGCGTATCAAATATTGACAATGAGATTTTTCTTAGAGGATCCTCGAACAATATGGACTTCCTTTATATAAAAAAACAAACTTATCGTCATTGACAAATTAAATGCTAATTTTAGATTTTCTTACTTATAGTCCAAAATTTTGTTAATGGTTGATTTTGATTTTAGTTTTAGTTGCCACAGAAGTTGGACTTCTGTTACAGCAGCGCATAAACGACATACCATACATTCAGATATAAGACTCTGGAAAAAGGTTTCTAAGTTTATTGGTTGATTAATGAAAAATTGTATTGATCAGGACTTTTTCCTATAAAATACAGAAATAAGCACTGATGTACATTTTTGAATTAAATGATTTTAGTTGAATTTTGAATTAAATTCAAAAATCCCTCATTAAGTAGGACTCTGCATAAGCCCTTCTTCTTCTTAGACTGCCTGCTCACTTTAAGTGCCAGCGGTCGCATTTATTAACATTAAACTTATTTCCACATAATTTTCAACTTAAATCTTCAATACTACAAATTTTTATTTATTCCGCTTCATTATTTTACTTTAAATTACAATCTACACGGTATTTAAAAAGCTTTTCACGATATGTTATTTACTCGATAGTAAATCAGTGTAAAGATGTATCGATCACGCAGAGTGTATCAATTCTCCAATAGTTCGATGTCCTGTCTAAGTGCGGATATTCCTTAACTATGACAATTGTTTCCGCTCAAAACCTCTGTGACCTTCTATACGACTTTGAAGTATAAATTCAAAGCCAAGTATAAGTTTAAGTATAAGTAGAAGTCGTACTAAGGTGCACGTATTATGTGCTATTTTTCTTTTTTCATGATTTTGAGCAGTTCTCTTTCTTACTGCATTCTTCTAAGCACTTCTTCATTGGGAACTCTATGAGTTCAAGGTATTTTTAATAGACGGCGAAAACACCACATTTCAAAAGCATCCAATTTATTAATTGTGGTTGTTTTAAGAATCTAAGATTCTACTTACTCTATAGAGTAAGACTGACCATACGTAACATTTTATATATATATATATTCCAAGCAACAGACTAAGGATGTGTGCGAGCTAGGCTAAGTTGATGCTAAACCAAATGGGAGATTTTTTGGGATTTTTTGCACTGCACACATTTAGCCATTTATCAACACGTATCGACACATCACTACGTTATCGGCACAACTTAGAATTTCCCTCATTTAGAACGCAACTTAGCCTAACTCGCACACGTCCTAAATTCTGGATTATTCAATATTTTTTTGTATCGCATAAAACTACTTCCAGTCATTTTAATTCTACATTTGATTTCTTGATCTGGGTACCAAAGCTCATTCAAAGAACATCCCAGATACTTAATTTTTGAATTTTTTATTTTCTTCATTTTCAAAAGAGATTCTGAATTGTATTGCATTGATTATATTGTACGTTGCAGAGCGAAGGACCTAGTAGTTCAGTTCCTTATTCTTAGCTAATTTTAAAATTAATTTTAGTGTTACCTTATAAATAAGTAAGGGAATATATTGTACGTCAAGTCTTAATAGAGCTACACCAAGCCTTAATATAGCTAAATTGAATAAATTGCTAATATACCTATTCATATAAATATTTATCAATATTGTATTGTTTATATAATGTTATCCTAATATTATAATACTTTAATATTATTTTAACGTTAATAGTGACAACATACTATATATGTATCTTTTGTTTTATATTTTAGTTCCACGTACTGAAATACTTGGAGACCCTGATCGATATGTTAAAGCTGGCAGTAATGTTATACTACGTTGTATTGTACGTGGTGCTTTGGAGCCACCAACATTTATCATGTGGTATCATGGATCCGAGCAATTAGCGGCAGATTCGCGTAGACATCGAACACAGATTGATCGGAATTTGCCTGAAGAGGAAGGCGATGCTCATAGCACGGTAAATATTAAGATTTGCGCATATATACATTATTGTGTTAAAATATTATGCTATGCAAACTAGACTTTATTAAGAACTGAATTGATATTGTATTGTATACATGTTTTATTTTAAATTGAAACACTAATAGCAACCCTATTAGAAAATAAAGCTCAGAGGGTTCAGAGGTGCTTTAGGTGTAAAGTTCTGAGTTCTGAAATCTCTTTAGAGCTGCAGAAACAAAATTACATTAAGCCAAATTTTTAATTTAAAGTTTTATTTTTCATGACAAAAAAAACCTGTCTTCGAATGCCAAATGATAATAATATTTTTAATTTTTTTTTATATTGTTTAATAATAATCTCAACACTGTCGAAACAAAAAAAGTTTAAAAAAATAAATGGTATTTATTTTCACCTTTTATACTTTTAACCATAAATTAAACTGAAAAATGTGAAATTAATTAATTTAAGAATTTTAATTTTAAATATATTACCCACTTGCACAAAGTTCAGAACATTTTCATCTCTCTTGAAACATGCAAATAACGAAATTATTTAATTACACTTAAAAGAATGAGGAAGGAATTGCTGCAATTCCTCTCAATGAAATTGTCATCTGTAAATTGAAATATTACCTCGACCATCACTCCTCGTGCATTGTTCGAATAAATAAAATATTTGCATATCTTTTATCCTGTTATCCTTCCCTTTTGCTGTACTTAACCGAACATATTAAGACAAAACTTAATGCATATGTGCTACCAATTTCTGAACTGACAGTCTGTGTAAATATATTTTAATGGTCATCCTTAAAACAACTAAAAGTACATAAATAATAAAAGTCGGAGACACACAATATCACTGAAATAACATAAGCACTCCTGATATATTGCAGTGTAGTGTATTCAGTAGCAAAATAAATTAAATGTCAATTTTATATATTGAGGATATAGAAAAAATTGAATATATGTAAAATGACATGAGATAATATTAAACAAATAGAAAAAATCCAATGCTTGGTATCAATTCAACACAACAAACGTAAAGCAAGCAATTGTAAAACGTGAGCAAATCCTGTGACTTGATTTGTTTTCACTGGCAGCAGATCCTTCATTGTAGACAATGCTTTACTGCTTTACTTCTGTCAGTGTATTAGTGCATGGCTCCTGTAGTTGTTGTTGTTTTTATGTCTTAGTACTTCTGTACTTGACGTAGTTGTCATTGTGTCATTGTCACTATTGTCACAGTTGTCACTTTATTCAAGTGAAGCTGAACTCATCGGTGTATGTGTTTTAGTACACTGTAAAAAAATATGTTAGAAAGCAAATAATAAATGTATATTTTTCATAAAATGTCTAATTAAAAGTTTTCAAAATAATTGATATGGATTTTTTTAGTAGTGATACATGATAAAGTGCAACATTAGTTTGAATGATAAAATCTCAAATCTTGGAAATAAGTTTTCATTTTAATTGAAGAGAAAAATACAAGACAATACCTTTGTAGTTTTGCGAACTTCTTTGCCAAATGCAATGAAAAATATATATATTTCATTTTTAATTAATCAAAGTACCATGTAACTGGAGAAAAGCAAATGAAACTAAATCGTATATGAAATATACAATAAAGGAAAATCCTAAATATACTTTTAAGTATGTAGGGTTCTAAAAATTCAAATATCAGAATTTTGTTTTTATTTGAACATATATTTACTACACAACAATTGAAGTTACTAGGTACAGATTTAAGGCAGAAACTCAGTCCAGTTTAAAAGCAGAAATTGGTAAGATAAATCAACTTATGGATATAACTCTCATATGGGTTACCAGTGTTGGCATTATTGAAGTAAATTAATAAGCAAACAGTTTCCTTAGAGACTGTTAAGAGGTACACCTATATTCACTTTAATCAGTTCGTTGGTAATAGGTTGAACTAGCAAACAAAAAGAATTCCCGGTCATGGGAACATTGAAAAGAAAACAAAAACAGAAAGATTACCTAAAGACCGTTAAGACAGGTACCTATCTCCACTTACTGCAGCAAACATATAATAGATTGAAGTCACTTACAATATGAAAAACATACTGGTCAACCTAACATTCATACAAAAGTACAAAGCACCAAGTTCATACTGGTTGTAATTCTAATTGTAGTTCTTTTAGATCACTGATACTCATATGTAGCGAAGTAGAAATACTACGGTTTTGATTCAGCACTTATTTTAAAAATTACTGATGTAGAGATAACCACACTTTCTTTTTCCATCTTGCTTTGTCTAACCACAGTGCCCAGCCCAGTCACAAAAGATTGTTAGAAAAGTACTTCTGGTTCATCAGTAAAAAAAGACTTAAAATATATAAACTAAACCGAATGGATTTAGCTTATCTATCGAAGATTCTGGCGAATGTGATATTTATTTATCAAATAACTGCTAATTATGTTAACCGAAAGTACCATATATCTGCTGATCAACCATTATAACTAACCAACTAAACATCACGATTTGGTTGGTTATCCTACTTAAATTTGATTTTAACATTAATATGACTATTTTAACAGAATCTGTGGTATTTAATAAAGAAATTTGGAACAGTAATGAGCTGCAACAACAAAAATTATTTTTATTTTAATTCATTGAATTTTTGTCTGATTATACAGCTGTGCGAACATAAAAGTTAAATACAGGTTTTGGTCAGTTGGTTTAGAAGCGCTGACTCGGAGCTTCAAATTTGGCAGCGCACGATCCCTGGTACTTGCAGTCGGTATCATGAGTAACTGAATACAGTGAAGCATTGCCAAGAATGTAATTTTACAACTTACCAACCTTTTTTGTTTGCTTGAGCTAGATTATTATCTGATTCATAAAATGGAAAGTATTTGAATAGAAAAAACCCTTTTTAGGTGTGATAGAAAGCAAATTCTTTTGATATCTTATAAAAAGTTGCTAAGAATTATACCCGATTGTAAACTCGCGGTCAAGCACAGAACCCATTTTATTGTAACGAAAAGAGGGGTGGGATGTAACTTTTTCATAATATTTAAAACATAAATCGTGCTCCCAGTGCATCGTTATATTGAAAATATTTTAATAAGATAACTAAATACTATATCAATTAATAACTAATAAATATTAATACTACTACTATTTATTATAAATAGTAGTTAAAAAGTATTACTAGTATTATTAAAATTTTTGTGCGATTGCTTGTCAAAAAGAACTGTTAAAGTAATGAAATACTAAAGTGGTCTACTTTCCTTCTTTTATGAAAAAAATTTTCAAGCGGAATTTACTATTAAAAATGTTACTCATACGCTATGTTGGTTTTTGAGGTGTTGATATTACTACAGAAAATACTTTGTTTATGAATTAGTATTACATATTCAAACATTGACACTAATTAAATTTTTTTTGTAGAATAATGCTAAATATATTTCAATACTTCAATATTTCAATATTTTTTCGATGTAATATTACGTTTTCTTAGCATCTAATTTGTGTGTAGTATATTTATTCCAATGTCAAGTTTTATGATAACCAGAAATCTCTACAGTTAAGAAGGTTAAGCCACTCTTTGATTGTTCGACTGTGGATTTTTTTCAGTGTATCTGAAATTTATTCAAGTGATAATATTTATGTTTCGATTTAGTGTAAGCACACTCCTGTCTAATGATAATAAACTTAAACTGTAAAACTTGTCACTAAAACTACGTAAAACATTTGTAATGTAGTGTGAGGTATTTGTACTAACATATTTTTCCCTCTTTATCTCTCTTTTCATATTGCTTTCTCAATTCAACAAACTGGATACTCGCTGTACTGGCATCTTTTGTATTCACTGGGCAAATTCAGATCGGCTCATTAATCATTGAATCAGCGAAAAAACGTGATACTGGGAATTACACATGTAGCCCGTCAAATAGCCCCAGTGTGACTGTGACGCTGAACATTATAAATGGTGAGTTTAGTATAAGTACAGCTAGAGATACAAATACATTTATAGTGAGATATTTGCACATCAGTTTACATAGAAACACATTTGTATTGTTTGTTCTGTGCTATTGTAAGCTGAGCTGTGCAGTAACTTAACAAATGTTCGAATGGCATTAAAGTCAATTTTAATCTTGCTTAATAAAATTTTATCATCGCCTGGTACATGATGTCCTTGCAAGCAAAACGCTACTGAGGATGTCGGTTATAATCTTTGTACTACTACAAAAGTGCTATAAAAACATAAGATACTTTGTTGTGTGATGTTTTTTTTTGTCAATTTACATTTGCTGTGCATACGAGATGCGATTTGTAAACTTGACGACGTGATTCCAGTTGGGTTTACAAGCTTGTGTTAAACAATTTTTTAATTTGTGAATTCCCCTTTATGGGTTTTAAGTTATAAAGTATTCATAAGCAAAGACGATACTAAATTTTATTTTGCAATGTATTGAAGTATTTAATTTTAAGTAAGTAAGATGCACCAGGATATGCGTTAAAGTAAAATAAATGCTTGATTGACATTGAAAGACTTGGACCATTTGTTGAGGTATTATTTGCTTTGATGCTTTTTTGGCAAATTAAGGATGAATACTTTTAGCCATCATACATTAATATCTGATGGTAACCTGTAAGCAAAGTGGACTTTCAATGACCTATTTTGAAACTCATAAAACTCATTTTATTGTATTCTTATAAACAAAATAAAATTAATAAGGCGTTAAAACAGAAATATACAAAACCTATATATCACATTATTAAATCCTTCATTATCTCAAAGACTTAAAAATAAATATTATATTGATTAAACATTAAATTTATCAATATTCCTTCTCAATGAGTCACTTTTTAATATGTAAGACCACTCTTTCTATATACAATATATTTAAAATATTATTTTTATTAAAATTATGTTAATATTTTTAGAATTTCTATGTACACTTCCGGCGGTTCATTACGTTGCAACTCGACAGCTCCACGATATCATAAAATTTCGAAAATGTTGAATTTTATCACATTGAAGAAAGCCCGCCTGTTCCTCTTAGATGGGAATATTTTGTTGCTTAGGGCAGGAAAGGGGATTAGTAAACATTTGAGCTGAAATTACGAATTTGTTTGCATGCAGCATAATAATTATGAATTTCCTTTATCCTTATAGATAAGTTCAGAAATTTCGCTGTCGTATGGTTGGATGAGTGGTGAAGTAGTAACGATAAAGGAACAAGGCAGCAATATTTGAAATGAGTTGAGAAAATATTTGCACTTGTCAAAAGCGGATTAATTAAAAGGAGGAAAAACTGAAGAAAACATACAAAATAGATTAAAAATGTCAATTTTTTGCTTGTTTGGAAAATAACAATTTGAATGTCAAGTTGCTTTCGGGAATATAAAAGAATTTAAATTAAAAATGCTTCAAAGCAGATGATATGGTTTATTTAATTTCAAAAAATCGAAATTGTTGATAAAGTGCGTCTTTTCAGATTTTCAAGAAAATCAAATAATATGACAATCATTTTTTATATATATAGGAAAGGAGTTTCTCGAAACTAAGTTTATATGTTCAAAAAAAAAATTCCTGTCATCCCTCTTTTAATTTTTATTAAAAAATCGTATAACTAACTTTTATAAACTCTCATATTAAATTAAAATGCATACCAATAAACAATCTGTCAAAAAAAGAAATATTTACTGATAAGGTATCAAAGAAATACATTTCTAAAAACTTATTTTTTGAACGCCAAACCCGGGCATTCACAAAGGAAGTGTTTAATTGTTTTTTTTCCTGCATGTTTCCGCAACTTCTGCAGTGAGGATTAAAAGGAATGCATAGTTTCTTTTGCGTGGATTCTATATACACCAATGACCAGAAGGAACTGCCCTAAGTCTTGCAGTGTTCACAAGATTCCTCTCTATAAGTTGCTATAACTTAGTTTTATTGTAGGTGGGCCATGGTCTAAGATATTCATATAAGAGTAGCATGAAATTTGGTTCCTTCTGGTTCAGATTTAGTTATAGCTGTACTATATAATAATAGTACATAGCCGATTCAGACAAATAAGTTCATTTATTGTTTTGGTATATAGACTTTAGGCATAAAACTTAAGCATAATTAAATATCTCAAATATACTCACAATAGAAAAGGAGGTTGAGTTTTGTGTATGGCCCGTATATAAACCGTTGACTGAGGGCCAAGTTTTCTTAGATAAACTTATTCTTTTTAATACATTGTTTCGCTTTTCAATTAGAATTGAGGTATCTGTTATAGAAGATAATATTTGTAGTAAGAATTACGTCGATGGGTTCAGATTTTAGAAGAGCTGTTTTAGTCTTGTAAAACAGTTTTACGTTTGTTAAGTCTGAAGTTGTACTTCAGATTAAACCTATTCTATGAAAAATTTTTCCATTTGTTAATTTTTTTCCCGCAAATTTGATATTTTGATATATTTATCTAAAAACAAAATTATTTTTCAACAAATTTCTTTAAAATTTTATAATATATCCGTTTTTCTGCCTTTAGATGTAGTTTAAGTATATGCATAGTCTTTTTTATTGTGTTTTGTTTTGATTTATTAATAATATATGTTTTCAACATTAATCGATATAAATAGAAAGCAATAGGTTCTGACGTTCCCCTGTTTAAATTCGGACATGAAAGGAGTAATGCAGTTTACAATTTAATGAACTTTTTGTTATGTTTGTATTATCCATTCTAATTGGTGATAAATCACTATTAGGATTTTGTGCCCTACACAATTATCCATGTATATTATCCTGCATATTATAATATCCTTACGGTTTGTAAGGATACAACCAAAGTAAGTCGCCAGTGCTAGACTGGAATCGATAAAGTAGTCAAAAAAGAGGAAGTCCAAAAACATCATGGAGACGAACGGTACATATAATACCGAGACTTGCGATCCAAGGAAATCGTGAAATAAATTAAAAGTTAAAAAAGTAATCACAATCGTACGAGATGGAAAGGCGTCTCTGAGCCCTTATGCTCATCGAAGAGATAAAGGAAGTAATAACAACAATACTCTGCACGGATTATCTACATTTGTATTTATCTCATTTCACATAATCAAAGACATAGGCTTTACGGCGAAATTTACTCTAGTCTTCATGTACATTTATATGGATAATTTATTCCCGAAAGCAGATTACAAAAAAATATCGATTTCTAGTTTCGGAAAAAATAAAGTGAGTAGAAACTCATTATATGCAAACGTAAACTTTTCTTTTTGAAATCAATTAGTTTATCAAAAATTAGTTTAAAGTATGCAAACCGTAAATTGTTTGCGTTAATTGAAATCATTAGCAGGATATTCACATTTCGGATGAAATATACTTTGAACTAATTTCCACTGAAATTAAATTCCACTCTGAAGCTACAAGGCTAAGTAGAAATTATAAACACATTTTGAAACAAAATATTTACTATTACTAAATAAGCGTTAAATTAAATAAACTCTGCATGTTTTGTGTATCTTTGCTGAATGGCAAAACTTCCTCTGCTTTCCGCACAGAGTCACGCGGTTGCGACATAAATTATGCGCTACAAAATTCAGACTAAAATTTAATAAAACTGACACAAGTCAAAATGTGGGAAAACGTTTCAATGCGCAATCAAAAAATCAAACAGCATCTTCTGTTTATTTTATCAAGAGTCGTGATGACTTTTGAAGAGTTGCCACCCATTATGAGCTTCATTAATGGCCCCAACCGAATTCAACTCAACTCATCTCATCTCAACCTTTTCACACTTTGCTATTTCATTTAGTTTAGTTTATTTTATTTGAGTTTAGTTAAGTTAGTTGCCTTCGTATGTTTTTTAGCGGATGAAGCTGCCAATTGAGGCGTAAAGACTAAAGAAGGTCGCTCAAGTCTGCCAGAAGCGAACACAGTCAATATGTCTAAATGAATCACGTATCTGTGCAATGCCAGCGAAAGTATCTGTAAGTGTGGCTATACAGTGCTCAAAGCGCTGTGAATTGCAAGGAAGACGGAAAGCTTCTGTAATGAAATAAAAAAATAGCTTCGCTATTGAAGTAGATTTTCCATTTCATTTGAAACAAAATTTTTTCTAATTAAAGGTAATTGTTGGAAAAATATCACATCGCAAAGTAAAGTCAAGCAAACCTCTCTCTGAAAACTTTTAAATGCAACTACTTTCAACGAAAAGTGGAAAGTAGAAAGTTTTTACTTTCATTACAAAATGAAAGATTTTTTTTAAAAAGTTTACAAAACAGAGAAAAAATTTCAAAAGTTATTAAATAACACATTTCGAAAACTATTGCAGTTAATTAGAGATGGGATTTATACAAAGTCAGACAAAGGCTTTGTTTTAAGTTTTGTTCCATTTTTATAGAGGAAGAAAGTTTTAAATAATTACACAATTTTTATATATTGTTTGTGATTATTTTTTAAAGAGGTCAAAGACGAAGGAAATACTTGATATATGCCAAGTGTAAAATGCATACAAGATGGACGTAACTATCTCAAGTATATTTCTAATGTGATTATATATATATAAAAGTTGATAGTTTTTTTTAGAAAAGCTTTAGAAACAGATTTTCGATTAAGAATACATTTAATACAGTTTATAGAATTATATTGTATATCTATATCTATATCTATATTATATATCTATATTGTACAATGTACAATATTAACTAAAATATATGAATAATATTAATTTTTTAGACGAAACTGTTGCTTATGATGAATAGAAACTATTTAAGAGTTACAACTATTAGAATAGAATTAAAAAGGCAACAACAAAATTTTTTCTTAATTTATTAAAATTTAGTCGACCATACAGTTCAGGCAAGTTCTTGTGGGTCTTGATCACCCACTAAATAGCATTTTGAGATTTAACAAAGATTCTAGGCAGTTTTAAACCATAAATTTTCCTCTATATACGGACTAGTGGGTTTAAGTGGTAACCTTTGGGATCGCCAGTATAACCTAATACAATATAGTTCGTATGTATTTTGTGGCCAAAACTGCACAAACTTTCAATGCTTGGAACTTCAGCAGTAATTGGCAATACTCGAAACAGCATTGTATAGTTAGCCAAATCTGAATAAATAAACAAAAATTTTTGTTGTTGCTTTTTTAATTTTATTCGATACCATCCAGAATATATGAAGTTTTAAATAACAGATTGATCTATGTCGCTAAAACAGTGCCGCCAAATTAGAATTTACTAGAATTTACTAGACTAGAATTTACTTTCCTTTGTTTGTTTAGAGTTTACTTATTTCATTTATTTAATATTAAAATGTGATTATCGAAAACTTAAAAAAAAGGCTTTAAATAATTGTTGTGTTTATTTTTATTGAAGCCTTTTCCTATATTATGTCATTAACATTTCAGTGTTTTTTGACTTCTTCATCAGAGCGGTATTATTGAAACAACTGAAAAAAGCTTCAAAACATTGTAAATATTACATAAAAAATCTAGTCTTTAAAAACAAATAAAAAACATAATAAATAGTTCTTGATTTTAAAGGTTTATGATAGCCTTTAAATCATAACTGATATTTACTTTTTTAGTAAGCATAACGTGCCCTATAATGAAAACGTGCCCCACAGAAGTCGTAGCAATGCTTACTGGACTCACTCCATCACACTTAACGGTTAAAAGGAATGAGATCAGTGTCGTACTAAGGCTTCATTGTCTATGTAATCTTAATGAGAGCAATTTAACACGGCACACAAAGATTCTGAATAAAATCTGGTTTTCTCCGTGCCTTAAGGTCTTTGATAAGATGAATAGAAGATTGGTTTTCTCCAGGGAATTCGAAATGGTAATCAATGACTGATCAACTTGGAAAAATAACGAAATCATATTAAAATAGGACTCACACTAATGGGTCCAAAATGGTAGATGGAAGTACAGGAGCAGGAATTATAGGACCGAAATACCGCAAAGCAATCGCAATGGGAAAAACTGCTTTTATTTTTTAGGCAGAGCTCCATTCTTTAGAGAAACTCTTTGTGCGAATATAAAAAATTGGATGAATTTCTTTATATTTCAATTAATACAGTTAAATAATATAATATATATAACATAATATAAGTTATTATTTCCATTAATCAAAACTACTGGACCTCAATTTAGCATTAAAAAAATATGTTAAATAAATTATTACAAAAATTGAGCAACTATGGTCGTAATGTATTCTTACATATCTATTTGTTACTAATTATTTTCCAAACACGCAATTTTTAATATTTTTAATTATTGGTTAACAATTTGTAAAACACTAACCACTGCGTGTAATGGAATATTTGCTTAAAATAATATTTTTCCTGTATTCGTTTAATAAAGTAGAATAATTTTAAAAGCTTTACATAGCTATTCATAATTTATTTCTATTTTAACCAAAATTATGCATTTCATTAAAAACATATCGATTTTAATGTTGCCATAGAGCAAACGTTTAGAAGGTTCATTTATTATTTATTTGTTCTAATTGATAAGAGCATTTGCATATATAATGAATGCAAAATTATAGTTTACTTCAGAATTGCATAAAATAATAAAATTTCATAAAATTGCAAGCAATTTAAATAAATTTTCATGCTATGCACGCCATCATGCCAGACCATATACGAGTATAATATATATATTGCACTGAGATATCCTCATTCATCCTTACATCAGGGATTTTGTTGTTGCGTTATTTGTAAAATAAATATATATAGGAGCATATATTTTGATAAATTTTGCGGATGAATGATATCGTTTATTTATATTTGAATTTAAATGTAAATAATATATACAAGACTTGTATTAATTTACGTATAGAATTACGTCGACACAATTCGAATTCAAAAAAATATTTTAAAGTTGATAAATATTTTTTAAATATCACTATCAAAATATAGTGATTATATTAAATATTATATTTAACTAATTTGATGGAATTATTGAAAAATATAAATGGAGATAACTTGAAATATTTTATATTCTAGTATTTATGAAGTTTGCTGTACTGATATTGAATTTATTGTAAAGCAAATTTCATAATATATACAAAAGATGAAAAAATATGATGATGTGATCAGCTGTATAAACAAATGATTAAAATCTCATTATAAAGTAAGAAAATATTAGTGGATCTATGTGCTCAAGAATTAATAAATTACATACTTCTTCATACTTTTCCGTATTAGCTAGACTTTTTAGCCTCTTAAATTATAAAAGCAATTAGAATGGACATACTAAAACCTTAGAAAAATATAAATAAAGGTCTATGATTTGTTGCTCTGTTCTTACAATATTATTTGATTCAACCTAACTCAACTTAACTTTCAGATAATATTAGTACACATTCGTTCTAGTTTTTCTTGGCCCAGAAAAAACTATTCAGTCTTTCTTTCCGAATAGTAAAAAAAAAAATTTAATATAAGAACTGCTACATAGTCCTTCTGGTCTTTAGAATACTCAAAAGAACCTATTACCTATTATCCATGGGTGGTCTACACGTCCTCGCGTAATGTGCTCGTAAACCGACTAAGATATTGCCAACGCAAAGCGGGGATAACAAAATATGTGAATGTGAATGTACTTATAGAGTTATGTTTTAACGTTATCGGTCCTAAAGATAAGTACTCGTAATGTATAAATTCGATACTGGCCCATTATATATATGCAACTCAAAGGGCTCCAAAACTATTTAGAATTTTTAATGAAGGCGTATTAGTTTTTTAAGGGATATTTTGTGAAAATGAGGTTCTCTAAAATTTCAATTCTTTTAAAAGTTCTAACAAATTTGGTTCTACTATAATGATGAGTAATAGGATACGTCTACATAAAGTTATCGATACTCTGCGAACAGTTAGTGTTGTAAGTCCAGAAAGGAATACCTTTTCTATAACTTATTTACCTATAATATGTAATTTATATGTATAAATATGTGAATATATATAAAAATATATGAATATATATATAAATATGTATAATTATATTATAACTAGTTATATATTTTGACTTTTTTATACCTATATATGTAGTGATATTTTATATATTATATTGTCCTCAACATAACCGTCATAAATTCATAATTAAGTGAAGAAATGTGATTTTTTTTCAAAAAACATTAAAAGCTATACATACACTTTTAAACTTTTATACACTATTTTGTGTGTTTAAAATAATAAAAATTATTTTATTAAAAATATTAAATATTAAATAGATTTAATAAAAAATCTTCTGTTTTCTTATACAATTTTTCAAATTTGTGTTTACTTTGATCAATTAGTATTAAATATTTAATAAATTGTTAATTGTTAATAAGAGGTTTACTGGTAATCTAAGATTTATTAAGTTAATAAGCATAATTTTAATTACAATTATATTGTCTAATACAAGTGCCCAAGAGCAGAGCTGAGAAGACAGACAAAACCTATCATTAATTACTGTTAAATTGCTTGTAAGACATCGATTTAAGCACTTAAGAATTAGAAAGACTTTTTCAAGTGAAATACGTATTATTAATAAATATTCTTGCTTATTGTTTTTGAATAGCAAATCACAATGGCAACACCAGCATAAATTTTAAATCAGTTAAAAAAAAACAAAAGTTGCTTTAAAATTAATTACAGAAAAGCTTGGATTATTTTCCCACAATAATGTTTACTTTACCTAAATAGGCATATATTCACATATTCTCATGTATAAGTATATACACATATAAGTATGTGTAAATATGTATAAATATATGTTAGTTTATATAAGCCTATTATATGTGCAAATAAAATTTACGGTCACGTGCTCATCTATATGTAAATAACCTGTATATTATTTGCATATGTGTGCCTATTAAAACTATGCAAGTGTGCATAGAAATAAGCTTTGTTTTTTAAATTTTTATTTGATTCACACACACACACACACACACACACCTACTCACTATTACTCGTTCGTATATATTTTATTTAAATAAACGAATACAATGCGTATATTTTTTACAGGTGAATCATCTGCCTCCGCTGTCACTTCATCCGCTCCAGTAACAAAGGCGTATACAGCTTGCATTCTAGTTTTACTATGCAGTGTTATGATAATCGGGGGACATCGGACATGACAAGCTAAGATGTTAGTCAAACAAAGTCAGCAGGAAGGTTGGCAACAGCGACGGCAACAAAAGCCGAAACAGATTCAAAATGAAGAAAAGGCAGTACGAAAACACTATGGAGAGCGGCAAGCACAACAACAAAGCCAAGGAATAAAGGTGTATTGGGTTCGAATGCAGGGTTGCATTTTGTAAGTTTAAAGTTGTTTTTTTTTTATTTTTTATTTATTTTTTTTCCGTTTGAGTTTATATTTTTTGTTATTAAATTTAAAGTCAACATGTTAAATGCATAGCAAAAATTTTAATTTTAAAACATTAAAAATTAAAAAAAGGCAGCAGCCAAAGATATCTAGAAATGCTGCAGATATGCATAAAATATTCAAACGCATAAAATTTAGTTTTAAGCGCAAAAAAAAAATAATATATAAATGTAACATTTTTTAATATTAAAAATATCTATAAGATAAACTTGTATTTCCGGGCAGACAGAAAATTAAATTTAATATATGTGTTCTCAAAAAACAAGAAAAACTAAAAGAATATAAAATAATTAAATATAAAGAAAGAAATCTTACAAAATTAATATATTTCAAATTTATTTGAATAACAATTAAAAAAACATATTTAAATAAAAAACAAAAAAAATAAATTATTATTGTATAAATTTTATTAAGAATATTAGTTCGTTGTATTTTTAGTTAATAATTTAGATTAAGTAAGTAAAACACACTAACTAGAATTTAAGCATGAAATATATAAAAAAAATTACTAACGATTTTTTAACACCTACAGACGCTAAATTGGCATGAAATGTGTGTGAATTAATATTAATAATATTATTATTAATAAAAGTGTAAATAAAATACAAATTTATTATAATTATATTATTTGCATTTAAAAACAGTTCTAAAGCTATAACAGCTGTTCTCGTCTAAGAAACATATATTAAAATGCATTTAAATTTATATTTAAGCTGTATCATACTTACATAATTATATAATTATAATATGAATAAAATCAAAATTAAGAGACATATATTACCCAAAACCATTTCAAAGTATACAAACTTACCTATAACACAAACATGTATAGATATATCCTTCTGAAAATATACGTTCAGTTCAAACTTTATAATTGAATATTTAATTTATTATTTTATATTGTTATTGAAACAATTTTATAAAATTATATTACTTATATATATAATTAAATTAAATTAAAAATAACAACTTTAAAGATTTTTTACCAATTCAAAGATATAGTATTTTAAAAAACAGTTCATATTATATTTTATTAAATGCGTATACCTTTTCTACTACTTCTCTGCATAAAATTATGAAGTTATTAATATTAATAATATTATTTCATTTAAGTACTTTGTATTGTAGATATGTCGAACACAGGTTTGTTTAAAGCAGAAACAGATCGTAGTTCCTTCAAGAAGAGGTATTTACAATAAAATACCTCATCACAGCCCAGAATTTCTCTCCAGTTAAAGCAAATGTCCATTTATTTTATATTTTAAAAGCTTTTCCAGGAGATATTAAATTTTTCTTTGATCCCTTTTATATTGCATTCATACAAATTTGACATTTTTTTCATTTACCGGGAACAGAAGTTTCCCATGTTATTTATAGACTAAAAAGTATATGGGCATTCCTTACTTGACTTGACTTTCCAAAAACGGTGTTAAAAATTATCTCAAATCTATTGAGGTCTAAGTTAACATATAGGAAACAATTATAAAAGTTCTTGAATTTTCATATTTTCATAATAATTCCTATGACAGCTCTGATTTTATAAATGCAAAATTTAAGTTTTATTTAGAACACCACTAACCCATTTCAAAACAATATTAAATTGATAATATTAATTGATAATATCAGTAAGGCCAAAAACCATGTTTAGATTAGGATGGGTTTGGAGATCGCGTGTTGTTGTGAATCTCAACAAATACTCACGAAGATAAATATTGACTATTGTGAAGCTATCAAAATTACCAGGAGAAGGCGAGCTATGCCAACTACTGTATCATATATAGTTTTTCGAATTATCCCTATTAAACGATTTAGATTCGTCAAGAATTCTTCTGATATATTGTCTTTTTTTTATAAAAACCTTTCAAGTCAGATCTTAGTTTTTAACCCAATATATCCCAAAACAAAATGTAGTTGGAAGGTTAAAGCTGCATAATTGACTTTTAATAATAACTTCCCATTTCCCATTTAACTTTCATTTATGACATTTTCATAATATTAAATTTTGTCATAACTTTAAATATAATACAAAGATGATCAGGTCAACCCTTGTGTCATGGATGATAAAATTTACTTTACAAAACATTTTTACCGTTTCCATAATTTGCATTTACTTAATTGTAAAGTACTTTCCTCCAGAGATAAATGATTTGACTTCATAATTAGGAATTTTGCTTAATAAAAATAAGTAAAATATATAAAAAAGTCCACAGATGAACCATGCATTAATAAATCATCCTTCTCTCTAGTATCTGTCATGGAACATTTCTACCGTTCGCATTTATCTACATTTCCAAAATTCGCATTCATCTCCGTACACACTTAATTATAAACTGCTTTTCTCCACAGATAATCGGTTTTAGTTTATAATTAATAATTTTGTCTAATAAAATTAAGTAAAACATGTAAAAAAACAATAGATCCCAGATAAACCATGAATTTATAAATCCATATAAAATAAATTAAAATTCTTTAAATTTCAAATAACGAAATCTCGTAATTTCCGAACCATTATCTGATAACCATTAACGTTACCTATTGACATCGAAAACCGAACACACTTCATCATCCCTTTTCCTAGTTTAATTTTAACTCGGTAGGTACTTCGGTAGGGATTGTGTAAAAATTATAAAGCGGAAAGTAAATTTAATTAATTAAATGTAACCACTAAGTGTTTGCGTATGTGTGTTATTGTATCTGGTATGATTGTTTACCGCAAACATACGAGAGCAAATAAGAAAAACAAATCCATGCACAAGTGCGCATACTTCGAACGGAAGTGCTGCAGCTGCCTTACAACGTTCACGTTCACACTGTTGCAATGAGGTCAGGTCACAAATGCATTTATGCGCTCGAACAGGCGAACAAAATTTGCACGTTGCCTGCCTGCATGGGACTACGAAATTTATCTGAAATTCTAAGAATTTCGGTGTTGTGATGTAAGCGGTCGTGGGTTGTTGGGTAGGAGTGTGGGAGTGTGGGAGTGTAGTTTCGAGTGCGACTATCATTGCTTCTGACATTAGTGACAACAAATTTGTGTGCAATTTTTCATCGCAGCCAGATTGTGGTTTACATGTCCTGACACTGCACCCCGCATTTTAAATAATTTTGTTAATTTGCGCAATTTTCTATCAAAGAAGCATGAAAATATATTTTTAGAGTTTTTCACGAAAAACGCATACTTTCAATTTAAATTTGTTTAGTTTTTATTTTTCACTGAAATTTACATATTAAAAAAAGTTTTAAGTTTATAGCTTAAACTAACTACTCCAAATTTATCGAAAGTTTTCAAAGTATGCTAATAATGTATGTAAAAATAACAAAAAAAAAAACTTTTTTCCAACTAAATTATCATAAAATCGTATGAAATAGTTTTTAAGGGAAAAATTTATATAAACTGGATTTTAACTAAAATACTGCAATCAATAATTATAAATAGTTTCACCTTCGCAGAACGTGAAAGATAAATAAATTTTAGGTAAGAGTAAAAAATTATAATTAAATTAAAAAAACATACAGTATAAAAGTATTTTATTGATGAACCGTTCCCATATTGCATTTCATTATTAATTACAATAAGAAATAAGTACTCTAATATATTAACAAAATGATATAAAAGAATTTTAGCGAATATAAAATTTATCTGAAAGATAAACATAAATAAGTAGTTAAAAGAAAAAATTATAATTGTAATATACTAATATTTGAATAGAGTTCTATAAGTAAAATAGCATAAGGATAAGCCATTGGGTCAACCAAAAACACGAAATCAAAATATTATTTATTGTATATATATATAAAAATATAATAATACTTGATTAATTAAAACTTAATTAATTAACTCATTACATACATAAAGGTATAAGTCAAACAAAAAAACGATGTATTATTTACTACAAAAATAACATATGTAAAATTTAAATGAAAATTTACTGCATTAAATAAATAAATAAAGAGTGAATGTAATACTTAATAAATACAAGAGATAATTAATTTTTTATTTAGTCCACATTTTCAATACCTCAACAAAGGAAATACAGAAGTAAATATTAAGTTCATAATTTACTTTATTTATCGCGGAAAGAAATTAAATGCATTAAAAATTCATAAAATGTGTAGCAAAAACTACTACTATAGAAGGAAATAGACTTCTAATAACATCTAATATTCTAATGATTCATTTATTTAGAGGTTTTTCCAAGTATTACCGAACAACTTCCTAATCAATGAAATTATAGCATTTTGAAATAATTTCAAATATTATACAATATTTTTATAATTCATATAACAAGATCACATGTTTAAATCATAATATAGAAAAATTGACGGGACTTCCAACTGAGCTGAGTTGTATGAATATTTATACTAGCAAGACCTATTAACGAAATACCAGTCCTTCAAATGATTTTCGTTGAACATTTTCAACATCCTTTTTTTGGCTGGATCAAAGCCGGGCAGTCATAAAAAATGTGATTGATGTATTTGTCTGCAGGCAGAGCCGATATTTCGATTTCGGAGCCAAAACCATCTAGTAGAGATGGTAACGTACACTATTTTCATCCATCTAATAGTGTGCTTGCAGAGTTGACCCTCTTTGATTGTTACATTCTTTGATGTTTACATTCAGAATGGATGCTCTTTCACAATTTTAATAAATTTGACTCCAGCGTAAAATTTAGCTCATATGATAGTTCGCCATATGTAAGAATATGTGTTGGGGACAAAAATTCATACCATAAGCTTAATTTAATTTAAGTACCTAGTGCTACAGAT